GCTGCTGCAGCTGGGGGCGGCAGCAGAAGAGGTCGTCAGGGGCGCAGCAGGGGCCCCAAGAGGTGCAGCGGAAGCAGCAGGAAGCAGGTAGAGCGGCGCTGCAGCAGAGCGACCGGGGCAGGGCCTGCGCGGGAGGTGGAGCAGCAGCAGGAGCAGCAGCAGCAGCAGCAGCAGCAACAGCAGCAGCAGCAGCAGGAGCCAGGGGGCGGGAAGAGGTCGAGAGCCGCGAGCAAGGAGAGAGCAGCTGCTGGAGACAGGCTGAGGGCTGCTGCGGGAAGCAGCAGGTGCGGAGTTAAGGCGCAGCTGGCTGCAGCAGGGAAGCAGCAAGTAAATAGAACGCAGAGAAGCAACTGAAGTTGAATAAAATAAAAGAAATAAATGAAGGAAGAAGACGCGCAGCAGCAAACCCTCTCCCACCCACTACTCGGGTGTACACGCAGCTCCTCGGGGCGGGGGTTATATAGGCGTTTGCTGCCTTCCTTTCTTTCACTTCTGTAGCAAATTAAGAAATACAAGTCCCAGTTTTTCCTTTTTAGGCCATTTATTCCACTCAATCTGCTCTATCTTTTCTTTTTTCTAGTTTCGGCGGCAGGTCGTGGCGGCGCGGTCAGCGGTGTGGGTGTATTGGGGTGTACGTACACCCCAGGGCGCAAACCACCCTGCGGCCGTGCAGCTCCCGCGGCTCTTCTCCGCAGCTTCTTTCGAAAAATAAACCTTTTATTATCTTTTTTTTAGTGTTCCAGCGCCAAATTGAGCCGCCTTTCCTTGCCAGGCCCCCCAACTCCCGCGAAAATCTGCTGCAGCACGCCTCGCCTCCAGACAGTGCTGCTGCAGCTCCTTCGCTGCTGCCCGCTCTTCCCCCCGGCCTTCTTTTCCGAGGCCCTGCAGCACCGGCGGCTCCAGGTGTACGTACACCTCAGCCCAAACAACCCCGGCCCACGCCCTGTCTCTCCACTCCCCACAGCCTGCAGCAGCCGCTGGTGCGCCGCAGCCCGCGGCCGTGCTGCCTCTTTCCCTGCCACGCTGCAGCAGCTGCAGCAGCTGCAGCAGCACTTGCTGCTGTTTACGCCCGTGCTGCTCCAGCCGGCGAGGCGGCAGCCGCCCGCCCTCGACTGGCGACGCTGCAGCAGGCGCAGCAAACGCAGCAGCAGCACCGCGGCTCCTGCTGCTGCTGCTGCAGCAGCAGCAGCAGCAGCTCCGCAGCGGCGCAGCAGCCATAAGATACGCTGCAGTGCTGCCGACGCAGCAAGGGCCCACTAGTGTGTGGCCGCGTCACTTGCTGACAGAGTCTTCTCTATGGGCCGGGCAGCAAAGGCAAAGCTTAGAAGAGTTGTAGCGAATTTTTTAAAAGTCAAAGTTTTTCAGAAGACTTAAATTAGGCCACGGCCAGAGAGCAGGCAGCCACGTAGGGCCAAAAGGGGGCAGTGAGGAAGCTGCTGCGCAGCAGCCATTTAAGAACAGAATCAGCAAAAGCACAAAACATTTCGAAGTTACTTAACTCAAATGCTGAATTCTACCCAAGTAGAATTCCAGAAAGAGGCAATTCTGGGCCCTCTCCGGATGCATGCACTGTAGGCATTCAGTACGGCATCTTCGGCCAGTTAGGCAGAGGCCAACGAAGGGGGCCCCCAGAAGGGGCCCCCAGTGCTCCGCTGCAGCTGCTTCTTAGAGGGTTAAGGGCAGGCTTTTGGGCCTCATGTCTGGGGCTTGTTGCCTAGGCAGGGTTGCTGCAAAGAAGGCCATTTTGGAGGCCTTTTCCATCTTAGTTCTAAAACGCTGCAGTCACTTTTCCCCTCATGTCCGCAATCTTAACACAGAAGGACCCAGTCTTTTGCTGATGTGCAAGCAGCCTCTAGACTTTTGCAGCTTCCGAAATGCATTCTGGACACAAGAGGTGTGTCTGTGGCCCTCTCTGAACTGAGCCCAAAAGGCTTGAACTGTTTATTGTCTCTTTTAGACTAACTGCATGCGTTAAGTCACCGCAAATGCAGCTTTGAAGGGACAAGGGAGAAACGTCTTCGGGAAACTTTCGGTGGCACAGTCACAAGTATAAAAGGCCTGCAGTGCTACGACAGTCTTACGAAAAGACTTTTCTTTGTCTTCTCTGACTCGACGAAAAGTGGACCTTACTTCGAAATGAAGGCACTTCTACGCCCTTCGAAAGAAGTAACTGACAAAAGAGATAAGGACAAAATACAGCAAAATGTAAAATGTCTACACAGTTCTGTAACTGACAAAGTGCAGCTAGAAGCTCTTCTGCGAAATTTTATCGATGATTGCCGAGTGGCGTTTCTTTTTGCATTGCTGAAGTATAGACACAGCGGAAGTCAATTAAAAAAGCAAACTTGGCCCCCAAGGAACTTTGCCTGGGGGGCTTTAGCTTACCTCGTTTTTGGCTATTAGCGAAGATGCAGCGAATGGCTGGGAGAGGGGACTGCAGAGAAGTTGGATCTTTTGAAGAGTGATTTAGGTGCAGCTTCATAGTGCATGCATGTTAAAAGGAACACTTCAAGGTTTTATGCTGATCTTATTTTTGTGAGGGGGGGCCCTGTTTGTGCCGCAGGCATTACCTGAGCCCGCATATCTGATGTCTCTGAGATATTTCGAACAAGGAAAACCCTTTCTTCACACATTACGCGCAGTGCATGCAACTCTTCACCCAAGCAATCTCTGACTGTGTCTGTCATGCTTGTGGGCGGTTCAGCGAGTTGTATGGTAGTGGCTTGCCCTTTTATGACAAAGAACTAGTCCTCAGATTTGGCAGCAGTCTCTGTTGCTGAGGGCTGCACACTTGGGCTGGGGACCCACCAGCCCTTACTCTTACTCATTACCCCTAAGTGGCCAAAAGAATCCGCCTGTCTCTAAGTCTTGGGCCTTAGAGGCTTCACTGTCTGGCTGTGTGAAGTGTCTGCACACTCCCTGGAGAGGGCCCTGAGTCACTCTTCTGGGCAATTAAACTGCACTTTTTTTAACTTCGTTTACTTTGCGGGAAATATCAAAATGCACGGCTGCCCCAACTGCCAGCCTGGCTTCTGGAGGTTTGTGCAGATTGCCGCGGCCAGATGCTCTTGCCCAACGGTGGCTCAAGGCCCACGTGGAAAAGTGGGCCTCGAGCCACCATAAGCAAAGACACAGAAGATAGTGCAGCCCCAGTGGTCCACTGGACCACTGCTTAAGATCCTTCATTCTCGCAAAATGCCAAAAACGCCAAGCACTACAAGAGAGTTCGGAAGGATCCCCACGGCGCAGTCCTGCTAGCACTATGTTTAAGCTGGCAGCACAGGAAGGGCCCTTAAAGGGACTTGACAGAATAAAGCAGTGGAATGTTATGAGTGATGGAGGAACGAAAGCTAGAGGGCCTGTTTTGGGAAACAAGTTTTGGAAGATGAGTCTGTTGCTTCGTGGGCTCAAACTACCGCAGGAAGAAGTCTTATTTGCTGCTCGTGGCAGCGTAGCTGTGGGCATCAGGGGTGCCAGAGTTGTCTTAGCCAGTCCCGCTGTATTCGTCGAGAGCAAAACAGCAGGAACTTTTGTTTTGCTGCCGAGAGTGCTCTTCCTGCTTCTGCTGCAGCGCCATTCAGCGAAACAGCGTAAGCTCCGCTTGACTTAGGAAGAAAGGATGAGTGGCTCCCCCTGCAGCCTTTGCCCTCTACGGAGCAGCAGTCCCGTTGCAGACGTGGTAGCTAAAGCTGCCAAGAGCCGCTGTGGCTGCCCAGGCTGCCCCCTGCCCACTCTGTCTTCTAATAAAACTCTTCCTGTTCTATGTGCACCTTTCCTCTAGCCTCCACCACCCGCCTTCTGAAGCCTTTTTGTTGAGGCCCTCGCGACAAAAAATGGCCCGCGGCTTGGGCTCTACTCTCTGCTGCCTTCGCAGCCAACGGCGAAGACCCCTAAAGAAGTGGCTCTTCACTGGCTTTTTTCCCAGCCGCTGCAGCGCAGCTTCTGCCTTGCTCAAGGCGAGATGGAGTGGCTGTTTGCTGGTTATTCGCATGCAGCAGCGCCACGGCCACCCTCTACAAAGCCCCGAAGGTTTATCCAAAGAAGGGAAGCTGCTATCGAAGAACAATACCTCAAAGTTAGAGGGGTCACTATCCAGAGGGAAGAAGCTTTGGGGGTTTTCCGTGCACTGGGACTTGGCAGAGTTGCCCAGGAACTACAGCCTCGGAGAATTCATATCTGTCTCGTGGCCGCAGCCGAGGACCTCTCGACAACTATGAATTACAAGTCTGGCAGATGCTGCTGTTATCCCCCGTGGCTGCCCGAGCGTAACAGCCAAAGCTGGATAAAGAAGTTTGTGCGAAGCTTCTGTTAAGTCTTTCCTCACCTCTACATCAGATGCGACTTTACATCAGTCGTTGCACTTTTCCAGTCCACCCACTTTGCTCCCGCGTGGCTCCGTTGAGCGTCCCCAAGTGAAAATGACTTTTCCATTTTTACTTGATTTTAGACTTTAGCGGATTAGATCAGTCCAAGGAAGGTTCGGGGGGCAGGCAACTGGTAAAGGGGCTACTGGGGTTTCACGAAAAGGCCTCCTGGACTTCTCCCACTCAGCCGCGAGTTACTCTGGGAAAGCCTTTTGCATGCGTGGGCTTCTTGCGGAGGCTTCCAAAAGCCCCACAGAAGGAAAGCGGGGAAAGAGTGGGGAAATTCCATTCGGAGTTTCTGGCCTTGGCCTGCAGGCCCGAGCCCCCGAGTGGCCGCTGAGGCGCGCTGCAGCATTTTACTTGATTTAGTTTGTGTAGATTTGAAGAGAATTTTGCGCCCCAGTTCATCCATTTGCTTCTGATATAAGAAAGCTACAAACAAGGAAAACAAATGCATCAGACAAATAGCTGTCTTTGCCCTGAGCATACCTCAATCTGCTGCTGCCCGCCGAGGCCATGCAGCAGCGCCATGCAGCACCTGCAACTTTACCATATACATGTATATATAGACATAGATATGGATGTATATATATATATACATATTGTAGATATAGTCAGATATATGAATAAATAAAGATAGACAATACGGCTGGCAATAGTGGCTGGCGGGTAGCAGCGCTGCATTCCCCGAATCTCATCCTGGCCACTGCTTGCATGCACCAGGTGTACGTACACCTCTCTCTTCGCGCGCCGCAGACTTGGGCGGACGGCCGTCTCAACACTGTGCAGCTGGTGGTCTTTCGGGGGCTCCCAGGGCCCCCTGAGGCCTCTTCAAGTCACCTGGGGCCCCGTGGGGCCCCGTGGGGCCCCCTGAGGCCCCCTGGGGCCCCGTAGAGCCTCCTTTGGGGCCCCCCTTTTGGCCCGCTGGGGCCCTCTGGGGCCCTTCGGCCCGCCTGGATGGATTCAACAGGCAAGCGCAGCAGAAGAGCAGCAAGTAGGAAGGTAAAACCAGCAGCAAGTCAGGGCCCCACAGTTCTCCCGTGCTGGCTGAGGCCTCTGTCCAAATAGAGCTGAGTTTATCTTCAAAGAAAAGTCCACCACAGGCCCTCTGGCCAATGAGAGCCGCAGGAAAAGCAGCAGGAAAGCAGAAGGAAGTGCAGCAGAGCAGCAGCATCAACAGCAGCAGCGCAGCAGCAGCAACAAAACTGCTGCAAAGGGGATCGACCGCGTTGCAGTGGGAGACGCAGAATTCAGCGGAACAGGAAAATTTATGCATGCATACGTGCATGCATATAGAGCAATTAATCGCAAATGTATATTTCTCTATATGTATGTATATAGCAGCAAAAAAAAAATGCATGCATACATGCATGCATGTAGAGCACCTAAGCATAAATATATAAACACACATTTATATATTTTTATGTATATACACTTCAACACACTGCATATGCATTTTAATGAGGTTTTTGTTGTGTGTGTACAAACAAATTTGCCAATTGGCTTAAACTCACTTTTGTGGCATCCGCACAAATCTGTGAATAAATGACTCCACAGATTTGCGTAAATTTGAATTTAAAGTATTTAAATTGTTTATTTTTGGTTTTTAAACATTTAAATCATTTATTTTCCTATAAGAGAGTAGATCTGTGCATGCACTCGCAGAACAGCTGCATGCAGCGGCCGTGCAGGAAAGGCAATTTTAGAAGACTTCAAGTTTGAAGTTAAAACTAATTTAAAATATTTAAAATTTGAAAATAACTAAATTTAGGAACTGTAATTGTCTTTAAGTCTTCGACAGCAAAGGGGAACTCCCCAGACAAATCTATTTCGAATTTGTCCGGTTTGCTGCTGCGCAAAGCAACCAGGTGTACGTACACCGCAGTTCAACGGAGCAGCAGCAAAGCGCAGCCATTTGCTGCTGCGGCAGGGCCTTCCAGCAGCAGCAGCTGCTGGCTGCACAAGCTGCAGCAGCTGCAGCAGCTGCACCGCTGGGCAACAGCACAAGAAGGCAGCTAAGGGAGTTGTCCCACACGAGGCAATGGCCTAGCTAGCTAGCTGGCTAGCTGGCTAGCTAGCCGGCCACCCAGGCAGCTAGCTAGCTAGCTAGCTAGCTAGCCAACCAATTGGGCAGGCCGACAGGTAGCTAGCGAACCAACAAGGCAACTAACTAGCTAGCCAACCAGCCAGCCAGCCAGCTGGCTGGCCACCCAGCTAGCTAGCCAGCTAGCTAGCTAGCCAGCCAGCTAGCTAG